CGCCAACAATTTCAGGTCTCACTCACTCTCAATTTAGTTATGCACATCATCAAGAGCCATGGTGAACGGAATGCGCCAATGAGAGATTCTCAAATAATATAATACATTTTTTAACGTTAACATTTAAAGAAACACAAGAAACGAAACCATGTCCCCCTTAAAGGAAACAGTTTTCCAACGACGTTTTCTCTCGAAGAGGTGATCACAATTGGCCACCGAAATCTTTTCTTTGAACACCTTGAATCTCTTCTGAGGCCATGTGAGGTCTTCGCTAAGAGCGTCTATTCCAAGCCTTAAGTATGAAGTTTGCCAGGCTATCAAGGACATAGAGCTCCACTATGTGACTTGGTTATATCGAAATTTAAATAAAGAGCAAGTAAAAAACATCAAGTTCGGCCGGTCCTAACTTTTAATACCCTGCACCATTGGATAAAGAAAACATTTTTATATATTAGTATCGGAATTCAAACGTGTTCCACTTTAAACTACAAATACCAGCAAGACCGTTGGCATAATGCTGTTTAACTTTTCAGGAAACCATCAAGTGCGTGAGGCCTTTATATGGAGATCACACCAAAACGGGAACCTATGTAGACAAGTTTACAGGGTGAGATGAAAAAACTGAAACCAACTTCAGACTGCTGTCATTTCTAAGCCACTCGTCCGACAGGTGTTAAAATTATTCCAGCGACAGCTCATTACATTATTTAAAAGCGTACAAAAACATTTTGGTGAGAATTTTCCAGAAAAATGTTATTCGTGATGGAATTCAAGCGTGATAGTGTGATTTCTTTATGTTTGGCTGTGGCTATCGTTAGAGCTCTGCAGCATTTAAATATGAATAAATATTTTGTGTCTCGTACCATAGATCTTTACCGTGATACTGGTAGCGTAGCCCGACGTCAAGGAAGTGGACGGAAGAAAACAGCAACATCAGCAGAAATGGTTCGAAAAGTAAAGAACCGACTTGAACGAAACCCGCTCCGCTGTGGCCGAAAAATGACTAGTGAACTGAACATATCGCAATATTCCATTCGGCAAATTTTGGAAAATGAGATCGGTGTAAAGCAATTGAAATTCCAAAAAGTGCAAGAGCTTATACCGCAGCAGAAAGAAAATAGACTCAAAAGAGCTAAAGAGTTGCTTCACTTGGCCGAAAGTGGTGAACTGCCGAATTTGTTTTTTTCCGATGAGAAAACATTCGTTGGCCAGCAGTTTGTAAACATCAAAATGATCGTGTTTACTTGCCAAAGAGGTCAGCTGAAAATGTGGACCTTCGGTTGACCACCAGATCTCAAGCGCAGGCCATGGTGATGGTGTGGGCCGCCATAACAGCCGGTGGTCGCTCTCCGCTCGTATCGACCGTGGCATCAGAATAAATGCCAAATATTGTCGCGAAAATATTCTGGAGAGTGTATTAAAGCCTTGGGCACGCAAACAGACCTAGGACATTCCAACAGGGCTCAGCGCCACCGCACTCAGCACGCGCCACCCGAGAATTGTTACAAAATGAAGTTCCTCGCTTCATTTCCAGCGCACAATGGCCACCAAATTCTCCGGACACCAATCCGTTGGACTATTGTGTCTGGAGTATTTTGAAAAGCAAGGTTGGCACTAAAAAATACCAAAGTGTCGATCACCTCAAGCATGCGCTTCGCCGGGAATGGATCATAATAACGCTGAGCCACATTCGTGCAGAGTTTGACGGTTTCATTGGCCATTTGAAGGCCACTTTGTTGAATTTTTTTATCTCACCCTGTATACTTCAAGGATTGTTATCTGCCACATTTTCTTAAATACCAAATTGGAAACAATTTCGTGGGTAAATGTGACTAGGATTATTAAAATACAAAATATCGATGAGTACTGTTATTTGTGCGTTACAGGAAAACGTTCTGTTCTGCCACATAAAAAATGTGAATAAAAATACAGAATATCGGGAGGTATATGAAAACGTGTACCGTCACCGGAGCTGGAACCTATTACAAACCGAATATTGGAACGTGAATCTATATGTATGTACAATGTTTCGGCACCGGAGCTAAAATTCATCACGAACTACATATACCATTTTATAGACAAATCCATTTTCAATCCAAGCTCTTCGACGGACTTCGTGAAATCTGAATTTTATGCTTATATATATATATATATATATATATATATATATATATATATATATATATATATATATATATATATATATATATATATATATATATATATATATATATATATATATATATATATATATACCCTTCTTTTCAAGGTGGAGGGTACAAATATAAAAACCTTCTCATGGTATAAGCCACGTCGAACTTTATTTGTATCTTTTCGACTTCTACATATTTCTGCATATTGTCTTCTAGCGCCACTGTGAGAAATGTCAACATACAACCAGCTGGGTTGTAATTGTTCTTAAGACTTTATGTTGTTTGAGCATCGCAATCAGAAATTAGTCAATTAGAACGATAGACAACATCTCAATTCTAATAAATTCTTTTTTTGTTTTGTTCTTTTCGTTGAGGGAGGAGGATTTAATTTCCATTTAACCGGCAACAACATTGTTGCAAATACAAACATTTGCCTTAAATGAATTTATGGTATGTTCGATATAGAATTAATTGGGTGTGATTGGACCTTTCATCGTGCTGGTCAGATTAGATGTCGTTCTGTGCGACTCAACAAACAAACACTCAGACACAAACACACACACCAGTACAAGTACAAGACTTAAGAGAACTCCCAAGATTTGCATACGAATGAAATTTAATATTGTAATAAATAATATAAAAAATTATTATAAATCATTATTTTGAAGCATTTTGTCTCCAACGGTACCCACGGAAGTCGTTTCAAGAAATATCAATTTTATACAATGTAATTATGTGCATAAATTATTCGAAACCAAAGACAGAATGCTTTAAATTTCTGTCAAGGTCTATATCTGGCGTTTGGTAATTAAAAATTGATAGTAGGTCTTGAGGAAAAAGAAATTGGATTCAAATTAGAAATGAAGAACAATTTTATAGTATCTGTTGCATCTTATGTTAGTCACATGTCCTGGAAAAAATATGTAACTACAATTACACGTAAATCCCACAGCAGCGGGTTCTACGATAGCGTGCCGGGATTAAGAAAAACCCCGGACCATAGTTCTGTGCGGTTTGCCAAAACACCATCCACCATAGATCAGTCTCGGTGCGATGTAATAGATGCGGAGGATGGGTGAATTGTTCCGGTTTAACCCGGGTTTGAGGTGAGTCCACGACCACCAAACGCCACATGTTGCTGTTTAAATTCCGGACAGTGCATCATTCTTGTAATTCAATTGCAACGGACTCCGAGGTAAAATTGATGAGATAGTGGATTCTATGAATAGGAGGAATATTAAGATCGCAGCGGTGCAGGAAACCACCCTTTCGCACTTTCCTTAACCATGGGAAAACCCACTGGGCTGAGTTCAGAGAGTTCACCAACCTTCAGTTCACCATCAAAGCTGCAGCCGCTCGCTATAAACCTGCTGGTCGAATATCCGAAGTAGGACCAAATATCCCAGGCAGCGGGACTAGCAAATGAGCGTGATGAGCTCTGGCGTAGCAACACTACTGATCCCAGAGTCAGTGAACTGACAGTGGAAGTCAACAGGTTGGTACAGGAGCTTAAGCGGGAAAAGTGGCTAGACCATCTGAAGTGTTGCAACCCTGTGAAAAAGGATGATAGGACAGCAGTTACATTTAATGACGTAACGGTGACTGATCCGAAGAGGTGCGCTGGCCATTTTTAACGCCAATTTGTCGAGCACCCCGAGAGTGATAGGGCGAGGCAAAGAGTACTACGTCGTATAAGAGCTCTTCCCGCCGAGGATGTACCTCTACAGTTTACGATAGGTGATGTTGCGAATGTCATCCGAAATGTTAAGTCAGCTAAAGCGTTGGGCCACGGACGGAATATCAAAGGTAATGTTGAAGCAACTGGATACACGGGGAGTTGAGTATCTAATCAAAGTCCTTAATTTGTTGTTAGCGACTCACATAGTTCCCGAAGCCTGGAAAGTGTTGTAAGGTATAAACTGGTTATATTCTGATGGTTAAAAAGTTACATTTTATTTCAAAATTTTAAATAAACGTTTTAATTTAAAATTTAAAAAAAATTAAAACATATTGCATTTAGTGAAGCATAATTTTAGGATCACATTTTTAGTACAGACAATAACCTATAAAACTTAACGATCGTTTCAAGACAATGCCAATGTCATTAACAAGTTCTAATCATAATTTATGAGAAATATGAAGTGGGAAAATAAAAAATGTCAAAAGCAATTATTGCAATTGGTGGTCGTTGTGTAAATTGGCAGAGTATGTTAAGAATAATATAAATAATTAAGTTATCCACCTGTTTCTTTGAAATTAATTGCCACACAACAACACAAAATGTAGTATTTATAACTAAACAGAAGTGATTTTTTACAGATACTATGATTTTTAAAATAGACAAATTTTTAACTCATACATTAAACGCCACTGCAATTATCCAGTATTTCGTCTGCACCATAGAATAGAAATCCCTTTTAATTAAAGAGGTAGCACATTTAGATATAGCCTCATCTAAGGATTTAAATTGTTGGAATATCATTTTTTCAATATTCTCACGATATTTGATATTGATATTCAAGATTCTAGTTTCGATTTGTCATTGAATTATCAAGTGAGTAATCTTCGACCATTCATTGATATTTTTTAAAATCCAAAATTGCTGCCGTGAATTACTTTACATTGATTAGCTCCTATCAAATCAAAATTATCTTCTTTTTCTTTTTAAATTTTATGTTTAAACATTCCGAAGCATCGACATGTATGCGATCTGCTTAGTGAAAGAAATTTGTATCCCGGAAGTTTTTGTTAAAATTGCTTACAATTAATTTGAAGGAGAATCATAAGGCCTTCCATTGATCACATTCAAAATGTTGACCCCTAAACAATAAAACTTCACCTTCTTTGTTTTAATTCTTTTTATTATTTGTCAGTACTGCCACTCCTTCGTCTTGCCAATAGAACTACATTTTCCAGCGTAACATCTTTCTCAACGTAATAATATAAATTGGCATCATAGTCATGTTGTCTCAGATATTCCAAACGAGCATAATCCAAAATCCGTTTGCACATAAACCCGATTATCTCGCGTTCTGCGAGGGATAAACGTTGATTAGATTGAATTTCTTTTATCTCTTGCTCGGACAAGTTTTGTTCCTCCAGCGCCTTACGCCTTTCACGGCTCTTGCCAGTACCACAAATAGCCCAACTAACCATTTTGGTGATAATGGCAAATTGTCGCGGTGTTACTTCGTGTCTCTTGAAGAACTCTTTGCCCACAAAGGATGACCAATCACAACGATGATGACAACACACGGCGATCATAATTAAATCAGTCAAGCACTTCTGAGCTGCTGCCTGAATAATGCATCTTAATGACAGATCGGTGGCACCACCACATAAATGCTTTGATACAGCCACGCAATGTTGAGAATTTTCTAGGGCGGGTAATTTTTCCAGTTTGAAATCAACAATATCTGCACGTATTCTCTGAACCAAAGAGCGATCCTCAATCTTATTGTCCTTTTTGTGTCTCAAAGACATGCGATCCACTAATACCACTTGAGAGTTTTGCATATTTTCCAATAACTTTGAAAGGTAAAATGCCAATTGGCCCTTGCCTGCACCAAACTCCACAAAACTGGTGGAGTTTTGAATGGTCTGCTCGTTGTCAAGTATACCCAACAGAGCAGCAGCTTGTAGCAAATGTTTGCGAGACTCTTTACCATACTCCTCCTTGGCTAACTCCTCGTCCATACATTTGTGATGATAATCCAATGAGTGTATTTGAGCGTCAACATATTTGCCATAGAGTTCCTTCACTATATCTATAACTTTGTAGAATTCTGAATCTTCCAGTTCGGATAATTTAATGGAATTAAATTCGTCTGATGTTAGGGCATCTTCGGCCTCTCCAGCATTGACATTCTTTTGTATATACTCTGGTAAATCCTCCTTTGGCTTGGCATTGCAAATTTTTAAATGTTTCTTTAAATTCTTCTTATAGACGGTATGTTTACCATCCAAGGGGCAGGGTATTCGATCTTGATCTTCTGGCGATTGTCCATCTTCCAATTGTACAGCAGGAGCATGTTCTCCACAGTAGTCCTTACCCTTGGCCACTGTCATTTTACAAAAACGTTTCTTGCGTTGAACCCAGTGTTTACATGTCTTCTCTGCGGGAACGCTTTGTGGCACATCTTTTGGGGGCTCTCCATTTGTAGCTTCTGTTTCCGCAGTCATCTTTTGCTTTTTTACTGGCTGTTCGCTGTCCGACATTTAGCGGTAATATTTAATTAATATAGTTTTTATTGCACAATTGAGAAGAGAGAGCGGTTTCGAAAGAAAACAAAAACAAACGTGGAGGCAAACAGCTGACTTCAAAACAAGGTTGCCAATATAAAACAAACTCCAATTGGTAAAGTAAGGTTGCCATAGGAAAATTTCTTGACGATTTTATTTAGGTAAAAGGTAAAGAAAATTGAACGCGTTGCGCGCCATCGATAAACCCATGGTAGAAGAATACAGCAAGTCGCTTCGACACAGCTGCTGCGACAATGAACTGTCAAACCAATTTTGGAATTGAAAATGTTGAATGAAAAATTATTACAATTATTACAAACCAAAATATATAAAAATCTACTTATTTTTGGCAAAACAATTTTAAAATTTTGACATATTATGTACAGAAGCGTTGATGCATCTACCTATATTCTTCTACCATGGATAAACCACAACGACATGGAGAAGGCCTTACGGAGGGTTTGTTAAAGCCTTGGGCACGCAAACATTTTGGCATTCAGCACGCGACACCCAAGAATGGTTACAAAATGAAGTTCCTCGCCTCATTTCCAACACACAATAGCCACCAAAATCTCCGGATACGAATCCGTTGGAATATTTTGTCTGGAGTATTTTGGAAAGCAAGGTTGACACTAAAAAAAATACCAAAGTGTCGATCACCTCAAGCAAGCGCTTCGCCGGGAATGAACCAAAATACCGCAGAGCAACATTCGAGCAACGTGTGACGGTTTCATTGGCCATAATTCGTGCCAAAGGTGACCAATTCCAACAAATCTAAACTTATTCTTAAATTTAATGCTATTTCCGTAATTTTTGGCTTTCATTCAATACAATTTAAAAAAAATGTAAAAATTATGGCGCTTGAATTTGTTGCAGTTTTTTTTATCTTACTCTGTATGTATATACACTGTGTGTTTTAATTTTTTAAAAAATTAATTAAAACATAAAATTGATAAAAATAAGCAAACTCAGAAAAAAATATTAATCATCATTGCTTTATACCGTTACAAAATATTAAAATAATGAGTCACCTACCTTGAAAATATAGTACATATGTCTATTATGTTCATTTTAAGTTTGTTTCCATTAAATAAGTTGTAATTCCAATTGTCTATAGAACAAGAATTTAGCAAGGCTAAAGCAGATAAGAGCATAATACGTTACTTTGGCGTGAAAATCACACCGATGCCACGATTTTGGCTATAAATCCTTTCACCCTTGAAAAATCTTTAATTTACTGTCAATGTTGTACAACTAATCTATAAAATGAATTTATTTATACACACTTTTCACGTAGAGTGTATTTCAATGTTACACCTAATTTATGATATGGCAACACCATCCCTCATCTGTCATGCGGCAAAACACAAAATAGCAGCGAAGAAGAATCAAAGAAAACAGCGTCCACAATAAACGTTTATAATTTATTAATAAATATTTGACGAAATTAAACAATTGTGTTCCAATCAAAGGCTGATTAGTTAATAAAAGCAAAAATGTAAGTACATCCGGTTCATTTGTGCATTTTCTGTGCCATTTAGAAAAAAATCTAACCTAACTTTCTTTCGATGGCGCCGTTTGTTTACAGGGCTCTTGTTAAACCCAAATCTGAATTGACACCCGAGGAATTGGCTCGCCAGGAAGAGGAAGAATTCAATACAGGACCATTGTCGGTGTTGACACAATCGGTGAAGAACAACACTCAAGTATTGATCAATTGCCGTAACAACAAGAAGCTTTTGGGTCGTGTAAAAGCCTTCGACCGTCACTGCAATATGGTCTTGGAGAATGTCAAAGAAATGTGGACCGAAATACCACGTACAGGCAAGGGCAAGAAAAAAGTAAAACCTGTCAATAAGGATCGTTTCATATCGAAGATGTTCCTCAGAGGGGATTCGGTAATTTTAGTACTAAGAAATCCCTTGGCAACGGCTGGGGGAAAATAAGATGCGATTCGATATCATGTGAAGCAACAACTTACATTTTAAGCAACATCAATATGGAATAAGTAACTAAACTCAAGGAAAACGAAAATTTTTTGTTTAATGCAAAAAAACTGAAATAATATAATAAAATTTTTCTTTAAATATATAGTATACAATTGGTTTTTAAAAAAATTCCATTTGGTGGGCTATCATTGTTTACTGGCCTGACAATTGCTTGTGCAAGATGGGCACATAATCATCATATTGGGCTTGATAAAAGTTACCAGCAATGGGTGAGCCCAAATTGTATTTTTCTGCAAATTTGGCTGCTTTGAATTTTGGTCTATCTTGAGAAAAACTCAAGCCCCGGCCGAAGGCCGGCTATTTACAAAAAGTGCCAAATTTAGAAAACTTTTGTTATTCCGACGACTGCTACGCGAAATAAACACTTTTTTATTAAAAACATCATTTTAATGAACTGGTTAGAATCGGGTTATGCGGATGGAAAGACCCATATCTCTGGAACCGAAAAAGCTATTAGCACAAATTGTAGCCTTTTGGAAAGGTAAGAATGTCAGCTATAATTTGGAAACAATTTTGTTGACCCCCATAATGGGCCCTTTTTTGACTTTTTGGGGGTTTCATAAAAAATTCGGGTCCAAAAAATCGATAATTTGACTATAACTTCCGAACCGTAACATCTTACCCCATCGGATAGGTATTTTCATAAGCTTTCCAACGATACCCATATTGTCTATATCGGGTAAGTGGATCCGGGTCCAGGCGGGGTCTTGATCCCGGACTTTCGGGTCAAAAATCTGGGGTCCCGGGTCCGTCCCCCAAGAAAAAAATAGTTTCCCGGGATCAGGGTAAAAATACCTACCTCTGGAAAAAATTTCGAAAAAATCTAAGAGTTTTTACTAAACTAGAGTTGTTCCATAAGGATCGTTTCATATCGAAGATGTTCCTCAGAGGGGATTCGGTAATTTTAGTACTAAGAAATCCCTTGGCAACGGCTGGGGGAAAATAAGATGCGATTCGATATCATGTGAAGCAACAACTTACATTTTAAGCAACATCAATATGGAATAAGTAACTAAACTCAAGGAAAACGAAAATTTTTTGTTTAATGCAAAAAAACTGAAATAATATAATAAAATTTTTCTTTAAATATATAGTATACAATTGGTTTTTAAAAAAATTCCATTTGGTGGGCTATCATTGTTTACTGGCCTGACAATTGCTTGTGCAAGATGGGCACATAATCATCATATTGGGCTTGATAAAAGTTACCAGCAATGGGTGAGCCCAAATTGTATTTTTCTGCAAATTTGGCTGCTTTGAATTTTGGTCTATCTTGGCTAGAGTTATTTCCGACGCGAGCTTCATCAAATTCCAATTTTCCCGATTGCTTATACAAAAGGAATACATAACGATGTAGGCCTGTACCCTTTGGTGGTCCTGAGCCAATATAGGCAGCCAACACCTCACCTTGATCAATTTGATTGCCGGGTATATTTACAACCAACCAATGACGGAATTCTCTAAATTTCGGTTCAACACGACTGGGTGCATCTGGATCGGTCATTATAAGTGTATAATAGACACCATCTTCGGCATCCCATTCAACCTTTGGTTGTTTTTGTACTTGAGTTGGTGTTAGTTCAATGCCTTTGTCTACGGTCAACCCATTGTCATAGGATACCTGTGTCATGGAAAAATTTCAATATTTAATTCAATTTCATGTTTCTCACGAAGCAATTAATCACAATTACCTTTAGAAATTGTTGGGGAGCTGCATCGATAACATCGGGAATAATTTCATTATCTTTAAATACAGATTCAACTTCATTGTTTGCTGCAGCCAAATTGATAGCAACAAACATTGCTACTATCCCGCAAAATAGAACCTTTTCCAAAGCCATTTGTAGCGTTAATGATTTGTCCGTTGAATACTGATTTGTGTTTTCGTTGTAGTTTCCCCAAATGGAAATACTCTGTGCTTTACCAAAACATTGAGTGGAAACCGGTTTGACAAAACTTATGTGTGATTGGAAAGAGCTTTTGTGTTATGGAAAGATGAGTTTAACTATTTTTTACACCGTTTCCATATAACCTTACAAAAAGTATCTGTAAAACCACTTCAAAAAAAAAAAAAAAAAAAAAAAAAAAAAAAAAAAAAATTGCCTAAAATTGTTTTCTTTCAAAATAATTATTCAAACAATGCTAAATTATGCCATCATCATTTTATGGTGATGAAACAATTCGAATTACAATTGGTATAATTGGAATTAAAAATGGAATAATTCGAATAACAAATGGAATTCTCAAATTACAAGTGAAATAATCCAAATTACAAATAGAATTTTCAAATAACAATTAAGAATGTTTCGAATTATATTTGAAAAAGGTGCCCTGTGTAAGTACATCTCCCAAAAAGCGTCAAAATTTTGAATAATAATAACATTTAAAAACGTACAATAATAGAAAATATAATTTTCTCCAAACTTCTTAATATTTCTATCAACAATCTGGTATAAAGTTGGGACCACTCCTTCTGGTACATCCTCCACAAAGGGTTAAATTTTGGAATAATTATAACCCTTATAACATGCGAATCAATTAAGTGATTCATTTTAAACTTCTGGTATCTCAATATTTTTATCTACCATGGATATTATATGAATCTGCGGTATATCGGTCAACTCCTTCTTGACGTCAACAGCACAGATCGAAAATGTTGAACATTTACAAATCTCATAAAATGCTAAATAACTACCAAATATTTCTTTTAAGTTCGGACATTTCCTACCAATATTATTTGTGGTGTGACTGATCAGCCCACTCCTTCTGGTACCTTCTCCACAAAGGGTCTATATTTTGAATAGGGTCAATACTGAATATGGTCTCCAAAGTGCAATATTTGTACGTACATTATTTTGGTCCCATCTTTATGGAATAAAAGGTGTACATAAAAAATAGGGTCAAATGCTGATGGCAACCCAACTGATAATTTGTAACTTGATTTCTACTAAATTTTGCATGGTCTCGTGAATTAAATACTCTTATTGTGAACGAAATTTTTTGAAAATATTGCCTTAAGATCTATCAGGATTTTTCGAAAAGAGAAATGTAATATTGATAACATCCGACCCATAGAACTTAGATCCAGTTCGAAGATGTGCTTATCGGTTAACTTTATCGTATAGCTCCATATAACGGTACTCCCTCATTTTAAGCATTTCCACGAATTTTGACACAGTTTTCAATGGAATTGTCTGGAACTTTGTATATTTGAAAGTTGTTACAGATTCCCCCTTTGCAAAAAATATAATAATATATTTATATAAGTCCATTTTGTGGTATAGGTCCATAAACTGTACTGGAATATTCATTTTAGTCGATGGTTTCAATTTCTATATCTGGCATGTTGCCGTGCCAAGTTCATTAATCTACTAAGAAACTAAAATCAGGAGATATATTTACTAGAGAACTTAAAATTTCAAATTTCAGCGAAAGAATTGGAATGGGTCTTACGTCATAAAAATCACCAAAATCTGGAAGCATCATTTATAATTTGTAGTCATTTATTCAAAAAGATTTGATATGCCACAAATGTAATAACTTATCACAGGAACATTTGAAAACTATTGTGAGTGTGAGTTCTTAAATTTAGGGCATATACCCCTTTTGTTTGCATTCAAAAGATACCGTAATATCGGTGGACGTTTATGTTTTGTCGCTTATAACAGATCCATATCGTCACATTTTCTCCAAAATTTGCAAACCAAAATATATAAAAATCTATTTATTTTTGGCAAAACAATTTAAAAATTTTGACATATTATGTTCAGAAGCGTTGATGCATCTACCTATATTCTTCTACCATGGATAAACCACAACGACATGGAGAAGGCCTTACGGAGGGTTTGTTAAAGCCTTGGGCACGCAAACATTTTGGCATTCAGCACGCGACACCCAAGAATGGTTACAAAATGAAGTTCCTCGCCTCATTTCCAGCGCACAATAGCCACCAAAATCTCCGGATACGAATCCGTTGGACTATTTTGTCTGGAGTATTTTGGAAAGCAAGGTTGACACTAAAAAAAATACCAAAGTGTCGATCACCTCAAGCAAGCGCTTCGCCGGGAATGAACCAAAATACCGCAGAGCAACATTCGAGCAACGTGTGACGGTTTCATTGGCCATAATTCGTGCCAAAGGTGACCAATTCCAACAAATCTAAACTTATTCTTAAATTTAATGCTATTTCCGTAATTTTTGGCTTTCATTCAATACAATTTAAAAAAAATGTAAAAATTATGGCGCTTGAATTTGTTGCAGTTTTTTTTATCTTACTCTGTATGTATATACACTGTGTGTTTTAATTTTTTAAAAAATTAATTAAAACATAAAATTGATAAAAATAAGCAAACTCAGAAAAAAATATTAATCATCATTGCTTTATACCGTTACAAAATATTAAAATAATGAGTCACCTACCTTGAAAATATAGTACATATGTCTATTATGTTCATTTTAAGTTTGTTTCCATTAAATAAGTTGTAATTCCAATTGTCTATAGAACAAGAATTTAGCAAGGCTAAAGCAGATAAGAGCATAATACGTTACTTTGGCGTGAAAATCACACCGATGCCACGATTTTGGCTATAAATCCTTTCACCCTTGAAAAATCTTTAATTTACTGTCAATGTTGTACAACTAATCTATAAAATGAATTTATTTATACACACTTTTCACGTAGAGTGTATTTCAATGTTACACCTAATTTATGATATGGCAACACCATCCCTCATCTGTCATGCGGCAAAACACAAAATAGCAGCGAAGAAGAATCAAAGAAAACAGCGTCCACAATAAACGTTTATAATTTATTAATAAATATTTGACGAAATTAAACAATTGTGTTCCAATCAAAGGCTGATTAGTTAATAAAAGCAAAAATGTAAGTACATCCGGTTCATTTGTGCATTTTCTGTGCCATTTAGAAAAAAATCTAACCTAACTTTCTTTCGATGGCGCCGTTTGTTTACAGGGCTCTTGTTAAACCCAAATCTGAATTGACACCCGAGGAATTGGCTCGCCAAGAAGAGGAAGAATTCAATACAGGACCATTGTCGGTGTTGACACAATCGGTGAAGAACAACACTCAAGTATTGATCAATTGCCGTAACAACAAGAAGCTTTTGGGTCGTGTAAAAGCCTTCGACCGTCACTGCAATATGGTCTTGGAGAATGTCAAAGAAATGTGGACCGAAATACCACGTACAGGCAAGGGCAAGAAAAAAGTAAAACCTGTCAATAAGGATGGCTTAACTCTAGTTTAGTAAAAACTCTTCAATTTTTTCGAAAATTTTTTCAGTGGTAGGTATTTTAACCATGATCCCGGGAAACTATTTTTTCTTGGGGGACGGACCTGGGACCCCAGATTTTTGACCCGAAAGTCCGGGTCCAAGACCCCGACGATCGTTGGAAAGCTTATGAAAATACCTGTCAAACAAGTGGTCACATGATGGGGTAAGGTGTTACGGTTCGGAAGTTATAGTCAAATTATCGATTTTTTGGACCCGGATTTTTTATAAAACCCCCAAAAAGTCAAAAAAAGGTCCATTATGGGGGACAACAAAATTGATGCCAAATTATAGCTGACACTTCTACCTTTCCAAAAAGGTTCAATTTGTGCTAATACCTTTACTGAGTCCAGATCCATCCGCATAACAATAAAAAAAAGGTATATTTTGCGTAAGAATGAAATTCAAAAATCTTTGGTTCGTGTTAGCCGGTGTAGGACATACCCAGAGGAGAAAATCTCAAGCCCCGGCTGAAGGCCGGCTACTTACAAAAGGTATCCAATTTAGAAAACTTTGGTTCGCGTTAGCCCGTGTGGGACATACCCAGAGGAGAAAATCTCAAGCCCCGACCGAAGGCCGGCTATATACAAAAAGTGTCAAACTTAGAAAACTTTGGTTCGCGTTAGCCGGTTTAGGACATACCCAGAGGAGAAAATCTCAAGCCCCGGCCGAAGGCCGGCTACTTACAAAAGGTATCCAATTTAGAAAACTTTGGTTCGCGTTATCCGGTGTAGGACATACCAAGAGGAGAAAATCTCAAGCCCCGGCCGAAGGCCGGCTATTTACAAAAGGTATCCAATTTAGAAAACTTTGGTTCGCGTTAGCCCGTGTGGGACATACCCAGAGGAGAAAATCTCAAGCCCCGGCCGAAGGCCGCCTATATACAAAAAGTGTCAAACTTAGAAAACTTTGGTTCGCGTTATCCGGTGTAGGACATACCAAGAGGAGAAAAACTCAAGCCCCGGCCGAAGGCCGGCTATTTACAAAAAGTGCCAAATTTAGAAAACTTTTGTTATTCCGACGACTGCTACGCGAAATAAACACTTTTTTATTAAAAACATCATTTTAATGAACTGGTTAGAATCGGGTTATGCGGATGGAAAGACCCATATCTCTGGAACCGAAAAAGCTATTAGCACAAATTGTAGCCTTTTGGAAAGGTAAGAATGTCAGCTATAATTTGGAAACAATTTTGTTGACCCCCATAATGGGCCCTTTTTTGACTTTTTGGGGGTTTCATAAAAAATTCGGGTCCAAAAAATCGATAATTTGACTATAACTTCCGAACCGTAACATCTTACCCCATCGGATAGGTATTTTCATAAGCTTTCCAACGATACCCATATTGTCTATATCGGGTAAGTGGATCCGGGTCCAGGCGGGGTCTTGATCCCGGACTTTCGGGTCAAAAATCTGGGGTCCCGGGTCCGTCCCCCAAGCAAAAAATAGTTTCCCGGGATCAGGGTAAAAATACCTACCTCTGGAAAAATTTTCGAAAAAATCTAAGAGTTTTTACTAAACTAGAGTTGTTCCATAAGGATCGTTTCATATCGAAGATGTTCCTCAGAGGGGATTCGGTAATTTTAGTACTAAGAAATCCCTTGGCAACGGCTGGGGGAAAATAAGATGCGATTCGATATCATGTGAAGCAACAACTTACATTTTAAGCAACATCAATATGGAATAAGTAACTAAACTCAAGGAAAACGAAAATTTTTTGTTTAATGCAAAAAAACTGAAATAATATAATAAAATTTTTCTTTAAATATATAGTATACAATTGGTTTTTAAAAAAATTCCATTTGGTGGGCTATCATTGTTTACTGGCCTGACAATTGCTTGTGCAAGATGGGCACATAATCATCATATTGGGCTTGATAAAAGTTACCAGCAATGGGTGAGCCCAAATTGTATTTTTCTGCAAATTTGGCTGCTTTGAATTTTGGTCTATCTTGGCTAGAGTTATTTCCGACGCGAGCTTCATCAAATTCCAATTTTCCCGATTGCTTATACAAAAGGAATACATAACGATGTAGGCCTGTACCCTTTGGTGGTCCTGAGCCAATATAGGCAGCCAACACCTCACCTTGATCAATTTGATTGCCGGGTATATTTACAACCAACCAATGACGGAATTCTCTAAATTTCGGTTCAACACGACTGGGTGCATCTGGATCGGTCATTATAAGTGTATAATAGACACCATCTTCGGCATCCCATTCAACCTTTGGTTGTTTTTGTACTTGAGTTGGTGTTAGTTCAATGCCTTTGTCTACGGTCAACCCATTGTCATAGGATACCTGTGTCATGGAAAAATTTCAATATTTAATTCAATTTCATGTTTCTCACGAAGCAATTAATCACAATTACCTTTAGAAATTGTTGGGGAGCTGCATCGATAACATCGGGAATAATTTCATTATCTTTAAATACAGATTCAACTTCATTGTTTGCTGCAGCCAAATTGATAGCAACAAACATTGCTACTATCCCGCAAAATAGAACCTTTTCCAAAGCCATTTGTAGCGTTAATGATTTGTCCGTTGAATACTGATTTGTGTTTTCGTTGTAGTTTCCCCAAATGGAAATACTCTGTGCTTTACCAAAACATTGAGTGGAAACCGGTTTGACAAAACTTATGTGTGATTGGAAAGAGCTTTTGTGTTATGGAAAGATGAGTTTAACTATTTTTTACACCGTTTCCATATAACCTTACAAAAAGTATCTGTAAAACCACTTCAAAAAAAAAAAAAAAAAAAAAAAAAAAAATTGCCTAAAATTGTTTTCTTTCAAAATAATTATTCAAACAATGCTAAATTATGCCATCATCATTTTATGGTGATGAAACAATTCGAATTACAATTGGTATAATTGGAATTAAAAATGGAATAATTCGAATAACAAATGGAATTCTCAAATTACAAGTGAAATAATCCAAATTACAAATAGAATTTTCAAATAACAATTAAGAATGTTTCGAATTATATTTGAAAAAGGTGCCCTGTGTAAGTACATCTCCCAAAAAGCGTCAAAATTTTGAATAATAATAACATTTAAAAACGTACAATAATAGAAAATATAATTTTCTCCAAACTTCTTAATATTTCTATCAACAATCTGGTATAAAGTTGGGACCACTCCTTCTGGTACATCCTCCACAAAGGGTTAAATTTTGGAATAATTATAACCCTTATAACATGCGAATCAATTAAGTGATTCATTTTAAACTTCTGGTATCTCAATATTTTTATCTACCATGGATATTATATGAATCTGCGGTATATCGGTCAACTCCTTCTTGACGTCAACAGCACAGATCGAAAATGTTGAACATTTACAAATCTCATAAAATGCTAAATAACTACCAAATATTTCTTTTAAGTTCGGACATTTCCTACCAATATTATTTGTGGTGTGACTGATCAGCCCACTCCTTCTGGTACCTTCTCCACAAAGGGTCTATATTTTGAATAGGGTCAATACTGAATATGGTCTCCAAAGTGCAATATTTGTACGTACATTATTTTGGTCCCATCTTTATGGAATAAAAGGTGTACATAAAAAATAGGGTCAAATGCTGATGGCAACCCAACTGATAATTTGTAACTTGATTTCTACTAAATTTTGCATGGTCTCGTGAATTAAATACTCTTATTGTGAACGAAATTTTTTGAAAATATTGCCTTAAGATCTATCAGGATTTTTCGAAAAGAGAAATGTAATATTGATAACATCCGACCCATAGAACTTAGATCCAGTTCGAAGATGTGCTTATCGGTTAACTTTATCGTATAGCTCCATATAACGGTACTCCCTAATTTTAAGCATTTCCACGAATTTTGACACAGTTTTCAATGGAATTGTCTGGAACTTTGTATATTTGAAAGTTGTTACAGATTCCCCCTTTGCAAAAAATATAATAATATATTTATATAAGTCCATTTTGTGGTATAGGTCCATAAACTGTACTGGAATATTCATTTTAGTCGATAGTTTCAATTTCAATATCTGGCATGTTGCCGTGCCAAGTTCATTAATCTACTAAGAAACTAAAATCAGGAGATATATTTACTAGAGAACTTAAAATTTCAAATTTCAGCGAAAGAATTGGAATGGGTCTTACGTCATAAAAATCACCAAAATCTGGAAGCATCATTTATAATTTGTAGTCATTTATTCAAAAAGATTTGATATGTCACAAATGTAATAACTTATCACAGGAACATTTGAAAACTATTGTGAGTGTGAGTTCTTAAATTTAGGGCATATACCCCTTTTGTTTGCATTCAAAAGATACCGTAATATCGGTGGACGTTTATGTTTTGTTGCTTATAACAGATCCATATCGTCACATTTTCTCCGAAATTTGCATTGGTTTGGTAATCTGTGTTCTAAAGGGGTTTGTTTTCAACACATACCCCAACGTAGTTATGTGTTTCATTGTAAAGAAAAAGGGAACAAATAAAAAAGCTGTAAGTTCGGCCTAGTCGATCTTTGAATACCCTCCACCATTTGGAACGAATTTGGCATTTTTAAAAAAAATAAAATCCGTTAATTCTGTTAAAACCTTAAAAATACCGAATGTAGCCGTTATATTAGGGCTTATACGATGACGTGGACCTGCATAGGCAAATTTATTAATTAATTATTATTAAGCCATTATAATATTCATCCGTGAATAATTTAGCTAAAATCATAAAAACAGCGAATATAGGGAGGTACCACTATATGGGGGCTATACCAAAACGTGGACCTACACAGACAATTTTCTGTCTTAGGCTGTAGTATCCATTACAAACTTCCAATACCAAAGTTGAAACAATTCCGCTAAATAATGTCGCTAAAATCCTTAAAGTACCGAATATCGGGAGGCACCGTTATATGGCGGCTATGCAAAGACTTGTACCTGGACGGACAATTTTCTGTCTTAGGCTGTAATATCCATTACAAACTTCAAATACCAAATTTGAAACAATTTCGGAGAATAATGTCGATAAAATCATGACAGTACCGAATATCGGGAAGTACCATTATAGGGAGGCTATACGAAGACGTGGACCTGCACAGACAATTTTCTGTCTTAGGCTGTAGTATCCATTACAAACTTCCAATACCAAAGTTGAAACAATTCCGCTAAATAATGTCGCTAAAATCCTTAAAGTACATAATATCGGGAGGTGACGTTATATGGGGGCTATATGAAGACGAAGATCTGCAAAGGCAATTTTCAGTGATAAGCTGTACTATCTATTACGAACTTAAAACACCAAATTTGAAGCAATTCCGCTGAATAATGCCGCTAAAATCATCGAAATACCGAATATCGGGAGGTACCGTTATAGGGGGGATATACGAAGACGTAGACCTACACAGTCAATTTTCTATATAAGGTTGTTATATCCAGTATGAACTTCAAATACCAAATTTGAAACAATTCCGTTGAATAATGTCGCTAAAATCATCGAAATACCAAAAAAAGGAGGAGAAAAATACCATAACGTGGATCAACAAGACCCATTTTTAATACCAAAAGTCTTGCAGATATAACAAACCTTTGAGTAAAATTTTATCAACCTACTTCATTTCGTTCGGAAGTAAGAGTGATTTCCACAGACGGACAAATGGACAGATGGATAGACGGACGGATATCGCTAAATCGACATAGAATTTTATGTTAATCAAGAACGTATATACTTTGTGGTGTCTAAAATGTATATTTCGAGTGATACGTGATACTATAGTGGAGGGTATAAAAATATATATTGTTATACAATAGGAAGGCTAAAATACGCTGTTATCACCGTAATAAGTAGAATTAAGAACTGCATGTCTTTATCGACATTTGTGTATACCAGTTCGAAGTCATTTCATAAAAACTATGTAGAATATTATTAAAGCATACTTTTAGGAGGAACACTCAACTACATGACCAATGAAAGGTAGTTGAATACGCAAAGGAAGGATACGGGAGTAATTTTACTGCCTAGCCTCGGTGCTGCGTCCCAAAACCTAACACAATGCTTTTCAAAATCATATTTTTTCCTTACGCATAGTCATTGAATTTTCTTTCTATTTATATATAATTCAATGTCAGAATCAACAGAATTGGAAAATTGTTTCAAGAAAAATCAAATTATTCCTGATGTAGTAACAGTTGGACCCAAGTCTCTTCTAAAAGTATAATCTAATAATTACAACATTTGATTAATCTCCAAATAGCTCCCTTTCAGATAGCTTATCAAGGCAACCTACAAGTCGATAAAGGCAATGAGTTAACTCCCAGTCAAGTCAAAGAACCACCTACATTGGAATGGCCCAATGAGGATGCAACATATTATACTCTAATCATGACAGATCCTGATGCTCCAAGTCGCAAAAATCCAACATTTCGCGAATACCAACATTGGTTGGTGGCCAATATACCTGGAGGTGCCGTGGAAAAAGGAGATGTTTTAACAGCATATATTGGTTCTGGTCCTCCGAAGGGTACTGGTCTACACCGCTATGTATTTTTGGTGTTTAAACAAAATGGAAAAGTGAAATTCAATGAAGAACATATACCCAAGAACAAGGGATCGAGTCGTGGTAAATTTAATACAATGCAATTTGTTAAGAAATATAAATTAGCTGAGCTTGTAGCTGGGAATTTTTATGTTGCCAAATGGGATGAATACGTTCCGCAAGTGCATAAACAATTGTCTGGAAAATAGGCGGTGATTATATGGTTTTTATAAAGAAAAAAAAAAAGAATGTCTTGATATTTTGGAAACATAAAAACTGGCGGTGAGTTGGGACGGTTTGAGATAACTTATTTTTTAGTCAAATAGTGAACCAATCACTGTCTGCATATATTTTTTGTATATACCATCGTCGCTTATGATATAAAAATGACTCCAATTCATTTATGATTGATAGCAAAACCCAAAATATCTACAATGCATTTTCCACATTGGCACAACTGTATCGACATAGAATATTAAGCCAACCAATAATATGTAAATACATAACAATTTGAACGATTTTTCCCAATCAAAAATATAAAGTTTTTGGACTTTTCTTTCCATAATAAGGGTTACAGGGTTACGCTAGTTGTTATTAAAATATGAAGTAATACAAATAAATTTGTAGTACTTACCACCAATTACAGCTTAGAAGCGTGTCTTCTTGGAAATATTTTTTTTTTAATTTCTTTGGGCTGCTGATCATTATTTAACCGCTTCCCAATATTCTTTTTTATACCCTACAACACTATGTGTATAAGTTTGATTGAGCCAAAAATTATGTAACACCACGAAATATTGGTTTCCCACATAGGAAAGTATATATGGATCTTCCTATCTGGCCGAGCTGAGTCGATCTAGCTATGTATCTCCGTCTGTCTATGTTAATTTGTAATCACTTTACAGGTCGCAATTATGGTCCGATCTTCACGAAATTTAGAATGGAGATGATCGAATAATATTTAGGGGTTGAAATGGACCAAAACCTGAAAAATTTCATGATTTTGCAGTTGTTCTACAGGTCGCAATTATTGACCAATCGGCGCGGAAGTTAGCATGGGGCTAGAGCTTAGGGCTGGGCAGAAGCCTTCCAAGTTTGGTGAAAATATACCATAGCATTTGTGTTAAATAAAAGTCAAAGTTTCCATTAAACCTCGAATATTTTTAATCCCGGCGAAATCACAAATAGGCGAAAAGGTCAATTTTGACCGGTACGTAAATGCCGATAGTAAATATAAATATATATAGCGAAATATATACAATGTGTATATACAATATTAGCTAGAATGCATATATCTCAAGAATGGCTGGACCGATTTTGAAAAATTTTGTCAATTCAGAATACCCTCTTTACATAAAAGTATAAAATCTAAAAACAATGCAGAAAAATATGCTAATAATGATGTTAATTTAGATTTTGTAGTATTTTGTGACATTTTTTTATATTTTCATATTTTTCATCGCATGCGATGTTTTCAATTTGACATATAATATTTTGTAATATTTTTTCACATTACAACGCAGGTTGGGGATATTACATAAGTATTGCAAATATCGTCCGATCCTCACGAAAATTTTCACAAGGGTAGGGTTGGGCTCAGAAGGGCTAGGACTAGTGTTTTCAAAGATGTCCGCAATATATTAGGGGTTGAAATGAACCAACAACAAAAAATTTTTCAAACGAAAACCAAAGAATACGAAATCTCGCATAAAGTTAGAGTTTAGGACAGCGGGTACAATGGACCACTAATTTTGTGTGAAAAAATACCAGCATTACTTAAGAGCGATATCCGAAATACACAAAAGGCGAACTTCTGGCGTTTTTATGCTGATTTCGTTGACGAATATAGCCAAATTTCGTAGACAAGCAAATCATATAGATGAGTACATTTGGAGATACGGAGGGGCTTCTTGCTTTTAGAGATGATTGCAAAATATTTAGGGGTTCATGATGATGACCATTGGATTATATTTAGCTGTAAAATGGACTACAACAACTAACAGCCCGACGGAGTTCAGAAATGTTGGGAAAATGTCCCTAGTCAAAATCCTAATTTCAAAAGCGAAACCTTCCAATATGGATTTGGACATAAAGGGGCTTCTAACATATTGTAGTGTTGTAGGGTATAACACAGTCGGCCCCGCACGACTATAGCCTTTGCTTACATGTTTTTAGGTTTTATTTTAAATTGCGGTTAAATATTTTTCATTTTAATTTGAATATGAATTTTTTTACACATCTGAGAAAAAATTTCGACATTGACAATATAAGCGTATATTAATTTTTAGAAATATGTATCGATGCAATAACACAACGCGAAAAATTCGTAACACTTATCTGAAATGAAAAAAAAAATACAATACAAAATACATTAGTAAATTAAAGTCGCAAAAGGGATCTTAATTTAATTTTGAGCTATACTTCACAACCTTTAAGATATAGCTTTAAAATTTAATAGAGCACTTTGGATTTCTTCTGTAAAGAACCCTCATATCAGAGTAAAGCTCGATTTCAAGTATTTTTAATATATTTTAATTAATTTCCCTATAATTTGGTATTTATACCCTACACAACATAGTGGTAAGGGTATTATGTCTTTGTGCATTTGTTTGTAACATGGAGAAGGAAGCGAGATAGATCCATAGTTACTTTTGAGGATCTTCATGGAATAACTTTCGATTTATGCATGTCAGTTCGTCTGTCCATGTATTCTTGTGAACAAAATGCAGGAAGCATTTATTATTCGATTGTTATAAAATTTGCAAACCATATTTGTTTGGCCCAAGGACGAACCCCATTGAAATTGGCGATAATCGGATCAGATTTGGGTATAGGTCCCATATATATATTCAACCGATTTCGGGTTAGTTGTGCACTAAATGTCCAATATCTGTCCAAAAGTCCTGAATTTTGGCGCATCCGACAGTACCGACAGGAATAATCAAGTAAAATTCTTGAAAAACGATAAAATGTGTTTTAGAAGTCGAGTGGGTTGAAGGCGTAAAACAGCTTGTTGACTATGCAAAACATGATGAGAGCCACCTGGATATGCATGTACACAGCCGCCAATGTTAACTACAGAGTTCTAAGTTAATTGAGAACTGACGAGTCTTAAACTTCAAATGGCGAAATGTCTACCAAGAGGAAATGAGAGTAGTGAGTGTGTAGAAAGCTTTTTTAAACGGAAACGCAAATCTAACTAAATAGGGGAAATTCATGAGTATTGGAATAAAACGTTTATTTCGGTATGGAACATTATCCATGTATATGTTAACATATTCCATTTAAATTTGATTTCATCAGCCTATTGTCAGTCATTTCTCCTCTTTATATTATGTAACAGTTAAGTGTATGTGTCCGTACGCCACTTACCTAAACAAATCTTCTTGTGAATGGTTGCAAAACAAAACATTTTCTTTTAATAGACGGACGAACGATATCATTCAGAATCTGCAACTTCTTGCAAATAATTAAAATACCAACACCACTGAAATTCTTTTTTATATTAACACATCTGACACTGTTACCGACACAACCGATCACGACAAAAACTCGACACACACTAAATTGAACATTCGATCATCACTATTGAACTCCTTATTGGAGATGAAATGCTTATAAAGAGAAGTGAAGTGGGAACAGAGGCATATAAAATCTGCGATATACGGATGATTTTCAACAATTATTTTGACTTTATTTCAAAATCAGAGCCCAGTTTTTACCTATTTAATAATTTTCGAACAAAACTAAGTTAGCTCAAAACCAATTATTGATGTGATAATCTTAATAGACATAAAGTGCATACTGGCCCATTTTTTATAAATTCCACATCTTTAAATTTCTCTTAGGAAGTTCTCTTGCACATGGTAAATGGAGAGTAATGTATAAAAAGAGCACAATGAAAATGAGAATATCGATGTGCTTTCTATGCAAAATCATATTGATAAAAAATGAGCTGCAAAATATTTACAACTTCAAGTAAAGCACTTACGTGTTTGCAAATGCCTTTCTTAAAAACCCAAACCTGTACACAGCCGCCAAGTTAACTACAGAGTTCTAAGTTAATTGAGAACGAGAGTTTAAAACTTAAAATGGCGAAATGCCTACAAAGAGGAAATGAGAGTAGTGAGTGTGTGTGTAAGGCTCTTTTATGCGGAAACGCATTTCTAACTAAAAAAAGGAAATGCGTATGTATGGGAATGAAACGTTTGTATAGGAATGGGACATTATCCATGTGTGTATATATATTTCAGTAACATTTTATTTAATCAGCAGCATTTCCCCACTTTACTGTTATAAAACACTTTAGTGTATGTGCCTGTACGCCACTTACCTAGATCAAATATGCTTGTGAATGGTTGCAAAATAAAATATTTTCTATTAACAGACGGACAAACGATGATATTCAGAAACTGCAACTTAATTTTTTTCAATAGCTAGAGCACAATATTTGTTGCAAATAATTAAAATACCAACGACACTTGAATTATTTTTTATATTAACACATCCGTTACCGGCACAACCGACAACGACAAAAACTCGACACAGACTAAATTGAACATTAGATCAATTTTTTTAATCTCCTTATTGAGGATGGAATATTTAAGAGATGATATAATGAGAGAAAGGCTAAAGGAGATACTTGGTATTAGCAATTGGAGTGGGTTTCAAAATGAAATACGAGAATTATAGGTGCATCTAATTTGCAAATGGAGTATGTATAAAGATGGCGTACAATTCTCCATGAACTCAACAAGGTAGCGAAAACCTCTAATAGCCTTCGATAGAAAATTCGAGTATATTTAAGAGAGTTATGTATGAAAAGAGTGTAGTTGATAAAATTCGAATTTTGAAAGGAACAGTCCAACTACTCTGTTTTGATACACAATCCTCTTAAAATATTCTAGAAAAAATTTAATTAATCTGCAATGTAAAAAATACAATACAAAGATACTAAACTTAAATATTTAATCATGGTTACTATACAGCTTGCCAAAGATTTATACATCTCTAAATGTGTACTATAGAAACTATATAAAAGTATTATGCTTAAAAATATAAAAGTCAAATGTGAACAAGTCACAGACATAACTCAATCGTTGTGCGTAAACTAGCCTTTATGTTAAATGCAAGTATTCTAGTAAACGTTACCCACATACAAATTGCGTATGAAAAAAACTTTAAATTGAAAAATGTTCAACTCTGGCAGTGCGTATATTAGTTAGTTGAATTGATTATAATTATTAATTACATGATGAAACAAGTAAGCAAAGGCAAAGACAACACTATAATACATTGGATATATAATTGGACTAAAAAAAAATCATTGCAATTTTCGATTTAATGAATAGGATATTATCATTATTACATTCCTCCATCCTCATGTAAAATGCCGTGTCGATCGTTTTCTAGTTGTTACTTCAAAAAATTGTTTGTCCATTTCAAACCCTAAATATTTTTCGATCATCTTTAAAAAGAATGAGCTTCTATCCTGACCCTAACCATACCCCTAAGCAAAATATCGTGACAATGGGATGGCAA